GCACGGTATTGAAACGGTTAAGAGGCTCCTCTGTCCTGCACTCATTACCTGTATCAATGGCACCTGTTTGAACTTGTTATCAGTATAAAAGACACCTGTCCACAACCTCAACCAGTCACACTCCAAACTCCACTATGGTGAAGACCAAAGAGCTGTCTTTTAATACTTTTAATATCACATGTGTTATACATATCTGCTCTGTGCAATGGTACTGCACAGAGTGGCCCCGAACCATCTCTTCTGGGTCCCCCAAAGGAGATCTAGTCTTCTTCTTCTTGGTGTGCCACCACAGAAAGCAGCTTCTTATGGGGGTACACCTGCGGGCTTGCTCCCGAGCCAGACTATGTGTATCTGTAGACACACACAGCCCAGCTTGGCCCCACGCCCCCACAGGATTTGATTGACACCAGTAGGAGCAAATGGCTGACACTGCTGCCTCTCTGTCCTGTGAATGCAGGGTAAGAAAAGAGAGCCGCTAGAGGCATGTACAGTGCTGGATCGAGTAAGGACTCCGGTGAGTATAGGGGGAATGAGGGGGTTATACAAACACGGGATATTTATCACCTTAATAAAGATAAAAAGTTTCTGGTTTTGGAACCATTTAATTTTTTTGTATATATTTTCATGTTGTACTTATTATGTTCAGGACTGAAAAAATGAAAAATATAACAAATGTTTATCTTACTACCCATCAGGTAAACATGAAATATTTTATATTAAACTATTTCCCTGAAAGCTGGTTGAGCTCTGGGCTCATTATCATGTGTTTACCAGACAGTAAAAAAAAAAATCTCAAAAGTTGTTTTAAATCTGCAGTTTTGACAAAACTGTAATACAGGCGATCCTGCCATGTATGTCCTTGTATAGGCACTTCCTGTTGGAAGGTGACAACTGTCTCCCTATTGTGTTTTTGCACTGTCACCCATGTGACCCTGATGAAGACTTCAAGGAGCCGTGCTGACCAGGGGCAGACTGACCATTTGGAAACTCGGGCACTGCCTGAGGGCCCGGGGTCAGTAAGGGGCCCATGAGATGCCCCTGGTACCTTTTTCATAGGCTTTTTTGAGTTTGGGCAAGGACACAGGGGCCCATGATCCCCTATTGCCCGGGGGCCCCATGAGTTGTCAGTCCGCCCCTGGTGCTGACACGCTTAGTGCAGGCGTGGTAAACTTCTGTAACTAACAGGAAGCTTTTTTTTTAAAAAAAAACAGCAGTATGACCATTAGGGATCATTCATACAGGCAAAGAAAGCCATGGGAGTCAGAGGTGTTGCGTACAGCCACCTGTACAGATCAATGACAGGATGTGGCTGTAGGCTGGTAAACACAGATCTAAGCGTACACATTAAATACATGTGTGTATGTATATATATATATTTATTTCAGGTACTTATATAGTGCCATCAATTTACACAGCACTTTACATCAGTACATTCACATGCACTTTACATATTGCACATTCACATCAGTCCCTAACCCTCAAGGGGTGTACAATCTAAGGTCCCTAACTCACAATCATACTAGGGACAATATAGACAGGAGCCAATTAACCTACCAGCATATCGTTGAAGTGTGGGAGGAAACCAGAGTACCTGGAGGAAACCCACACAGGCACAGGGAGAACATGCAAACTCCAGGCAGGTGGTGCCGTGGTTGGGATTTGAACCGGTGACCCTAGCACTGCCAGGCAGAAGTGCTAACCACTTAGCCACTGTGATATATATATATTTGTCAAGAGGGTGGGTATAGTCAACATACGCCTACCATTGAACCCCAATGATCTCATAGCAGACTGAACACAGAAAAATTATCTTGGCTGCTTGGTTTACATAATTTTACATATTAGTCACTTCGGCTCTGGACCATTTTACCCCCCTTCCTGACCAGGACAATTTTTTGCAGTTTGGCGCTGCACTACTTTAACTGGTGAAAAGAAACAAAATTTATACAATTTTTCTCACACAAATAGAGCTTTCTTTTGGTGGCATTTGATCACCACTGGGTGTTTTATTTTTTTGCACTCTAAATGAAAAAAGGCTGAAAATTTTGAAAAACAAACAATATTTTCTACTTTCTGCCATAAAACATGTCCAATAAACAAATTTAAAAAAAATCTAATTCCTTTATAAATTGTGTCCAAAATGTATTTTGCTACATGTCTTTGGTAAACAAAATGCAATAAGTGTATATTGATTGGTTTGCATGAAAGTTATAGCGTCTACAAACTATGTGATGTATACTGGAATTTTTGTTATTTTTTTTTTTTCATACTAATGGCAGTGATCAGCAACTTATACTGGGATCGTGATTGTACGGCGGGCAATCTGACACTTTGTGGGAACTAACTGCCACTGACATCTCTAATGACACTAATACGGTGATCAGCGCTAATAATATACACTGATACTGTACTAATGACACTGGGTGAAAAGGGGTTAATATCTAGGAGCGATCAAAGGGTTAACTGTGTACCTAACAATGCTTAGTGTGCTGCTTTTACTAAAACATGTGCCGGATTTTATACCCTGCTTTGCAGGGAAGCAAACACCGGTACATCCTAGCTGTCAGGACAGAGCTCTGTGTTTACATTTACAGAGCTCTGTCCTGTCAACTGCTTTGCCGACCGGGCAATCAATCACTGGCCAGGACCCGCTAACTGGCTTGTGCTGTAACCTCTCACAGCACAGCCAGGTGGCGGGCACATATGCCCCGCTACCCGAAAGAGCTGCATCACATATTAGATACGTTATTCAGAGCAGGGATGCCAAGCTGCTGCTGCTGTACATCTAAGGCTCCGTTCACACAAATGTGTTTTTCTAGTGCTTTTTGCAGAAACGCACTACAGTCCATTTAACATGGTTTCCTATGGAATACGTTCACATCTATGATTCTTTTTTTTGAGCTGCTGTGTTTTTGGAAAGAATCAGGGAATTTTTTAAAAGCAAAAAGAAGCGTTTTTGCTACAATAGAGTTCAATGAAGAAGCTGCTCAAATGCATGGTATTGCGTTTTTGCTGAATTTTGATTTCTATTCTGCCCAGTAACAAAAAATTCCACTAAAAAAAAAAAAAAAAAGAGCTGAACAAAATGCAAATCGCATCCAAAACACGTAAAAAAATGCATCAAAAATGCAGAAAAAAGTGTGAAAAGCACAGCAAAATTGACAAAAAGCAAACTGCAGTGGTGTGAACGGAGCCTTAGTGATGCAATCAGCAAGCAGTTAAAGTAGAACAATAGGCAAAACTTTTTTCTTTTCATTTTAAAATAGAGTCGGGGAGGGTTTTTTGTTCCATCTGCATCCCATTGGGAAGATTTGCATCACTTTTTGTCCCACAGCAGCCAAAACAGGAAGTGAGAGGAAATCCCTGCAAACTAGGGGAATCCCTTGAGGACCCCAAGGTCACTAGAAGTAGGGTCCCCATTGGAAGATTTCTCCCTCTATTACTGTTCTGGAATCAACCCAAAATTTGGGATTTCCTTTTACTTTCACTTTTGATTTATCTCCTTAATGGGGACACAGCAATAAAAAATGAGGTGTTCTAATCCTCTCCACTCTGACCAACAATAGAAATGTTGCCTTTACTTATACTTTAAGGTACATTAGGACACCATATTGCCGTATGTGCTGCATTTTGAAAGGATTTAGATGGCGTGCACAGAACACGCCTGTCACACTTTTTTCACACTGTGCTGCGACTTGTATATGATAACACGCTTGATTTGAAAGCATTGCTTTCTACATATCCCTGTTTGTAATGTGGAACACAAGCTAACAGGACCAGTATGAACAAGACCTTGCAACATCCAAGAAAAAACAATAACTGTGGATAGGTTATATTTGCTGTTCTATCCCACATGGAAGAAAGATATATTTGAAATATATTTTAAAAATATTCTTCCCAAATATATTGACATATATTTGAAATACTACAATTTTGGCTGTATTATTTATATATATATATATATATATATATATATATATATATATATACACACTGCATGTTCAAATGCATTTTTTATATATTACAAACTATATGAAAAATATTTTTAAAAATATATATATTTTTAAATATATCCTTCAGATTTTTTTTAACATGTAAAAAAAAAAAACATTTTAACATATATTTGTACATATATTTGTAAAAGGGTTGGTGAGGAGAACTTCAGTCAGTTTGACCATCTCTACTGCGCTGAACCAGAAGCATTCCTGATCTGGATTCAGTTGGACAACACCATGGCAGTGGCATACATCTATCATTAAGGAGGAATTAGAATTCTGCCATGGCAAGTTAGGTAGATCAGATCCTGTCCTGGGCAGAACTTCACACTGCAGCCTTGTTGCCCATGTACATTCCAGATGTTGAAAATTGGCAGATGGACTTCCTCAGCTGGCAGTGCCAGGACACAGAAGAGTGGTCCCTATGGATGGAGGTTTTTTAAGGATCTATGACACAGGTTGGAGAAGCTGGATGTGGAACTGGCCTCCAGGTTCAACAAACCGGATGGGTATGTCTCCAGATACAAGGATCCTCTGGTGGAAACAGTGGCTACTCGTGTGGCTACATGGGATCAGTATACCCTGATCAGGGGCGGACTGACCATTTGGAAACTCGGGCACTGCCTGAGGGCTCGGGGTCAGTAGGGGGCCCCATGAGATGCCCCTGGTACCTTTTTCATAGGCATTTATGACTTTGGGCAAGGACACAGGGGCCCCATGATCCCCTATTGCACGGGGGCCCCATGAGTTGTCAGCCTGCCCCTGGTGTGTGTATATATATATATATATATATTCAGTATATATTTATTGAAATATATATTGAATATGGCCAAAATTATAGTATTTCAAATATATGTCAATATATTTGGAAAGAATATTTTTAAAATATATTTAAAATATATTTTTCTTCCATGTGGGATAGAACTCTGCATTTTTTGCGTATTTCAAAAACATGAAACAAATTTCTTCCTCCTGAACACAAGCACGGGAAGTCCCCAACTTACCCGTCTCCTGAAGTTTTTTCGAAAGACAGAGGAACATGAAACCCAGGAAGAGGAAGACAATACCAAGAGCGAAACCTAACCCACACAATGTGTTCTCCAGTACATCGGAGGGAACGGGGTAGTCCGGAACTAGAAACAGAGATTAAAAGTGAAGTTCAGATATAGAGATGGATCTGACTCTACATGTACAAGTGAGAGTTCCTTGATTTTTAAAGGGACAGACAGAAGATCGTTTTGTAAAAAAGTGTGACAGTTGGATAACGCAGAACTTAAAAGGTGTCAAACGTTCTCTAAATTCAGACGCCTAATAAAGATAGTTGTAATAAAAATGTAAAATAAGGATTTGATTTTTCGGGTGAGGACATTTGGGTTCCTAAGACATGCCAATGGCTTCTTTTATGAAGAGTCCAAAGAAGGGTTTTCCCCAGAGCAATAAAACATTATTGGGGGGGGGGGGTAATTCTAATTTATTTAGGAATTAAACTCTACAGGATTTCTAATCTAATCCTAATCCTTGTTACAACAAATGAAGCACCTAGCATGTCTTGCTTCTTTGCTCAATTGAATAGGTGGCAACAAATATTTGCATGGCTTCAGTTTATTGAATGTGGACATACCGGGGTTAATTTATTAATACTGGAGCATGCAAAATCTGCAGCAGGTCTGCATAATAACCAATCAACTTCCAGGTTTTATTGTGAAAGCTTAATTGAACAAACTGAAATTAGAAGCTGATTGGCTAACATGCTGAGCTGCACCAGATTTTGCACTCTCCAGTTTTAGTAAATGAACCCCACCATGTCATAACAATAGCCCATGCTTTAAAGAGTAACTCTTCTTTTGTTGAGAAAAAACCTTCCCCTCTGAATGATCCATCTACAATGTAGGGATTTTAACAAACTTTGCAGATTCCTTTCGTTATTCTGAAGCAATAGCTGTTTGTTTTTCTGCAGATAAGAGGAAGAAGGGAAGCGCCACCTAAGTGCAGTATTAAAAGTAATTTTATTCAAAAAGTGAAACAAAAACTCAGTAGTGGAAATGATTGCTCATCACAAAAGAAAGACACCGTCGCTCTTTCCCGTCCTATAGGAAACGCCTAGCCATTGTGGATGGAAGGAATGGAACCAGGATGCCGTGTAGACAGACACCCTTGAAGACATCTCCAGAGCCAGCTTGGAGCGTACACATGGGCAGATGTGACGTCACAATGGAAAAGGACCGATGTTACAGCAGTCTATGCACTCTGAGCTTACTGCTCCTTCTACAGGTCTCTTGGAATTTTTTTTCTTGACAAAAGTGGAGTTACTCTTTAAAGCATGGGCTATTGTCATGACATGGTTTGTCCACATTCATTATACGGAAGGCATTCCCCTTTGTGACGTCACATCTGCCCACGTGTGCTTTCAAAGCTGGTATGCAAGGTATGACAGTTCTGTTCATGAAATGTGACTTTGATGTGACTTTAAACTCTCTGGAACTCATGTAGCATCAAAGTCACATCAAAGTTGCATCAAAGTAGTGCAGGATCCTTTATGTGTCCAAAGTCGCATTTTTGGGCTAATAGAAAAGTATGACAGTTCCGTTCATGTAGTGCAACTTTGATGATGCAACTTTACACTCTCTGGCAGTCATCTAGCCCTTAATCCTAACCCTAACATTTCACCCTAACACTAGCCCTTAATCCTAACATGTGACTTTTGACCAGTGCTCGTCCACACGAAACGCGTCAAGGTGGAGCCTAGCCGGTGACGTCACGCCGCCCCGCACCTCGTGGAGGCCGGGCCATCTTTGTTTCTGGGATACCCTATGTGAGTTGATTTCACTATGCTCTAATAAAAGTTTATGAACCTACTACACTATCAGTGCTTTTTTGGGGTGGGCTGTTTGGTCGAGCCCCCCCCTTTTCAAGGTGGATATCTTGTTTGAGTGTCCTGGTCTGAGGAGTCTGGATTAGCTTTATGCCAACTATTGCTGGATGTCTGGTGTCCCCCTGCTGGTTAGAGGAAGGTGCATCCCTACCAGAGTGACAGCCTGCTAGATGACCCACATTGCTTCAGCCTTCTAGTACCAGGAGTGGTCTGATAACTCAAATGCGCACATTATGCGCTTTCTGGTGAGTGCATAATATTTACCCACCTTTGAGCACGGAGTCGACAACTTTTGCACCTTTTTACTGGGACAATTGAACCATTATCTGAGGACGTTGTTTTCACTTTAAGCACTTTAGCCACCACTCATCTTATTTGATTTTATTCATATTCATATTTTATCAGATTTATGATTCATGAGTCATCTCTTTTTAGCGCTGCATATGTTATTATTATTTATAGTGTGAAGGTTTGGGGTTTGTACCTTTTATGCCAGCTGCTTACCATTTATCTCCAAGCGCTCGTTAATTATTTTACTGTTCTGATATACTAGGGACAATTTAGACAGGAGCCAATTAACCTACCAGCATGTCTTTGGAGTGTGAAGGAAACCGGAGTACCCACAGGAAACCCACGCAGGTACAGGGAGAACATGCAAACTAGAGGCAGGTGATGCCGTGGTTGGGATACATTGGGTCCTTTATACCTATAACAGAACTTCCAGTTGTAGGTTCCAGATGTACTGACACTGAGAAGGCTAACTGTCCCTTTCCAAATAAATAATTATAACTCGGTATCCAAAACAATCATATCCCATAAAACCTATACCAAAAGGTCTTCCTTTCACCCTTGAAAGTAACAATCAGTAAGATAACCCTTTTTAGTGCTCTATAGTGTACACATTTAATCCTCCAAAAAATGAATAAAAGTCCATAAAAAAAAATTCTACAATCTTTAATATATCACCTTTATGTATCCTTAAATAATAAAGTCAATCAGAAAAAATTAATCCAATAGAAAAATTAATAAATCCTTCCGCAGAGCGCTCCGTATAGCTCCAAAAAGGACGTGCACCTCAAAACAAAAGAGAACTCAATAGTGCATTATTTATTATTTAAGGATAATGCACTATTGAGTTCTCTTTTGTTTTGAGGTGCACATCCTATACCAGCAATGGGCAAACTACGGCCCGCGGGCCGTATACGGCCCGGCGGACCTTTTAATCCGGCCCGCGGAGCGTGATACTGTCAGGATGGCTGTCAGGATGTGTGTAGGTGGGGCAGCGTGACGAACGTGAGGGGAGCTAGGCTCCTCTCACAGTCCGCCCTGAAGACCGGAACGGCGCGGGAACACGGCGAGAGGAACGCGCGGAGCAAAGGTAAGTAAATTGACACAGGGGGGACTTGGGGACTTAATATGGGGGATGAATTAATATGGGGAATGAATTACTATAGGGGGGATGAATTACTATAGGGGGGATGAATTACTATGGGGGATGAATTACTATGGGGGATGAATTACTATATGGGGGATGAATTACTATGGGGGATGAATTACTATGGGGGATGAATTACTATGGGGGATGGGGGATTAATTACTATGAGGGATGAATTACTATGGGGGATGAATTACTATATGGGGGATTAATTACTATGGGGGATGGGGGATGAATTACTATGGGGGATGAATTACTATATGGGGGATTAATTACTATACTATTACTTACTATGGGGGAATATTACTATACTTTACTATGGATGACACATACACATCATTCATCTACTCTTGGTCCGGCCCCCGGGTCCAATATATGAACCCATTGCGGCCCTCAAGTCAAAAAGTTTGCCCACCCCTGTCCTATACAGGGGGGCTCTGCAGAAGGATTTATGAATTTTTCTATTGGATGATTTTTTTCTGATTGACTTTATTATTTATGGACACATAAAGGTGATATATGAAAGATTGTAGAATTTTTTTATGGATTTTTATTCATTTTTTGGAGGATTATATGTGTACACTATAGAGCACTTAAAAAGGATTATCTCACTAACTGTCCTTTTCCACCCTTTCCCCCAACCATGCCAGCCATGGCTTGATTTATGTGACTATGACATCAATCTCTTTAGTGAGATAATAACACTAGCCAGTTGGGGTAGAAGAGAAGCGGCACAAGATAGTTGACCTAGGGGAACAGCAAGTATAAACCGGACACTGATGACCACAGATTACTTCATAAAGGTAAGTCTTCATCAACAAGCTGAAATAATATATAGCATGACTGTTATACTGACCCCAGTATTTGACGATAGTCCTGTTATCACCCGCCACTTGCACAGCACAGGAATAGCTATCATTATAGTAAGGGGTGATGTTGAGGTAAGAGAAGGCCTGGAAGCTCCCATCAAACATGGCGAAGTATCCAGGGGAGACTGGCTCTCTTGACAAAACTTGCCCGTCCTTCCTCCAGGTGATGGTCAGTGCAGGGGGGTACACGTCACTGATGAAACAGATCAATGTGTTGGGCTTCCCGATTCGAAGGGGATGTGCTGTGAACACCATTGTATGAGTACCACCTAAACATAAAGCATAGAAGATGAAGAGCTGTTTGTTCTGCATCCTTGGATCCATTTTGTCTGAAATTCCTGCTCTTCCACTACAAAAATGGTGCATTCAGGGTAGTTGTAGAACAGTAATAGGAGTAAGAACTTGGCCGTATGTCAAGAGTGATTATTTTTTCCCTCTCAATGAAAAAAACTAAACTATATCATGTTTCATGATGGAAGAGTCTTTCATGCTCTTATGGCACCAAGCAATACACAATGCTTCCCCTAGCAGATTACCAGCGGTCATCTTTGCTTAACATACTATATATCCAGTGTCAACATATAGCTAGTTGTTGTTGACATTCTATGACATTCTCCTAGATTGTAAGCTCCCAGGATCAGGGCCCTCTGTTTCCTCTTGTACCAAATTGTATTGCAAATGTAATGTCTGCCTTCATTTTGTAAAGCTGCGCAAACTGTTGGTGCGATATAAATCCTGTATAATAATAATAACAATGTATAGAGAAGTTAGATTAGCCATTAATAGTTAAAGTGGTTGTAAAGGCCGAAGGGTTTTTACCTTCCTGCAATCTATGCATGAACGTAAAAAACCTTCTGTATGCTTCCCCACCCCTAATACTTACCTGAGCCAATCTCGATAGAGCAATGTGCACAGGATCAGTGGCTCTCCCGGGTCTCTCTCTCTCTTCTTCATTGGCTGAGACAGAGCAGTGGGAGCCATTGGATCCCACTGCTGTCAATCACAATTATTGAGGAGGGAGTGGGGCTGAGCTGCACTGTGTGTTTTATAGACACAGAGCGCAGGGCTAGAGAGCGACCACACACAAGTGACCCCATAGCAAGTAGCGTGGTATGGGGACACTTGGCAGGGGAGGGGCCAGGAGCAACAGCAGGGGACCCGAGAAGCAGAGCTGCTCTGTGCAAAACAATTGCACAGAGCAGGTAAATATGACTTTTTTTTTTTTTTAAACTGGGCCTTTAAAGTGGTTCTAAAGGCTGAAGGGTTTTTACCTTCATGCATTCTCTGCATGACAGTAAAAAAACCTGTGTGCAGCAGCCCCCCCCCCCCCTAATTCGTACCTGAACCCCCAATCAATTCAGCAATGTTCACGAGAGCCTCTGCTCTTCAGGGACTCTCACTCCTGATTGCCTGAGGCAGCTGAGGCTGCTTTCAACCACAACCAGTGAGCCAATCAGGAGAGGGAGGGGGCGAAGCCGAGCCACAGCTCTGTGTGTGAATGGATACGCAGAGCCTCAGCTCAGGAGCGCGCCTGCTTGGGTGCCCCCAGAGCAAGCTGCTTGCTCTGGGGCACTCAGCAGGAGGGAGGGGCCAGAAGCTCGAGCAGGGGACCTGAGAAGAGGAGGATCAGGGCTGATCTGTGCAAAACCTTTGCACAGAGGACGTAAATATGACATGTTTGTTATTTATTTATTTTTTGAAGACTTTATTATCACTTTAAAGTAGAACAATTTTCCTTCTATAGATTCCAGCCACCCTCTTCGTAGTGTATTAAATAAAAAAAGTGCTGCTCAATCCTGAAAGAATGTCCACCCTCTGCCTCTGCTGCAAAAAGAAGAGGAGGCTCCTGTAGGTGACGTCACCAGACCAGCTATATGACGGCAGGTACAAGTTTGTATATTATTTTTATTGTTATTATTATTATTATACAGGATTTATATAGCACCAACAGTTTGCTCAGCGCTTTACAATATAACGGGAGACAATACAGCAACAATACAGTTCAATACAAGAGGGATAGGAGGGCCCTGATCCTGGGAGCTTACAATCTAGGAGGGAGGGGTATGTTTTGTTTTCATTAATAAAAAATACCAGAAGGGCTTTGGGAGGTGATGGTAGAAAAGTGGGTGGGTAAACCTTTGAGTTGCACTTTAAAGCAGATCGCCCTATAAAAGGAGTTTTGCTTTAATAGAATAATAACAATAAAAGGAATAATACAAGTGACCCACCTCATATGATCTGCCTAAAACCTAATTTTAGTCAGCAATAAAAAAAATCAGCACAGGCGACATTACTTACTATCAATGGGATGTGTCCCTTGTGCTGCTGGCTCCTGCTTTAGTTGAAATCTTCCTCCTCCAGCTGCCCCTACCCATGCGGCTCTAATCTTCTAATACCACAGAGGTTAATAGATATGTGGGACTTGTCATGTGCGCTCATCAAGAGTGCTGACTACTAGAGATGAGCGAATCGAATCAGGCGAAGTGGAATTCGTTTCGAATTTCAGGAAAAATTCGATTCGCGGCGAATCCGAATTTTTGCCGACTTCGGATGGTCGAATCGAATTTTTCCTGATCGGCGTTTTCATCCCTTCAAAAGCCGGCAAAAATGTCCCTGCAGAGAGCTCCGCTATTTCTGACAGCTGTCTGACAGTTCTTTCACATTTCCAGCGGTTGAAACATTGTATGTATTTGTTTCCATTTAGGATACAGATGTTTTTATTAGGAAACAAATAGATACAATGTTTCAATCGCTGTAAATGTGAAAGAACTGTCATAGAAATGTCAGAAATAGAGGAACTCTGCACATACACTTTTTGCTTTACTGGAATTATTCTTATTTTCATTCTTCTTCTTCTTATTTTCATTCTTCTTTTCATTCTTTTCATTCTTCTTTTCATTCTTCTTCTTATTTTCATTCTTCTTTTCATTCTTTTCATTCTTCTTTTCATTCTTCTTCTTATTTTCATTCTTCTTTTCATTCTTCTTTTCATTCTTTTCATTCTTCTTTTCATTCTTTTCATTCTTCTTTTCATTCTTCTTCTTATTTTCATTCTTCTTTTCATTCTTTTCATTCTTCTTTTCATTCTTCTTATTTTCATTCTTCTTTTAATTCTTTTCATTCTTCTTTTCATTCTTTTCATTCTTTTCATTCTTCTTTTCATTCTTCTTCTTCTTTTCATTCTTCTTCTTCTTTTCATTCTTCTTTTCATTCTTTTCATTCTTCTTTTCATTCTTCTTCTTATTTTCATTCTTCTTTTCATTCTTCTTTTCATTCTTTTCATTCTTCTTTTCATTCTTCTTCTTCTTCTTTTCATTCTTCTTCTTTTCATTCTTCTTTTCATTCTTCTTTTCATTCTTCTTCTTATTTTCATTCTTCTTTTCATTCTTCTTTTTTCATTCTTCTTCTTATTTTCATTCTTCTTTTCATTCTTTTCATTCTTCTTTTCATTCTTTTCATTCTTCTTTTCATTCTTCTTCTTATTTTCATTTTTCTTTTCATTCTTTTCATTCTTCTTTTCATTCTTCTTCTTATTTTCATTCTTCTTTTCATTCTTTTCATTCTTCTTTTCATTCTTTTCATTCTTCTTTTCATTCTTCTTCTTATTTTCATTCTTCTTTTCATTCTTTTCATTTTTCTTTTCATTCTTCTTCTTCTTTTCATTCTTCTTTTCATTCTTCTTTTCATTCTTCTTCTTCTTTTCATTCTTCTTTTCATTATTTTCATTCTTCTTTTCATTCTTCTTCTTATTTTCATTCTTCTTTTCATTCTTTTCATTCTTCATTTCATTCTTTTCATTCTTCTTTTCATTCTTCTTCTTATTTTCATTCTTCTTTTCATTCTTTTCATTCTTCTTTTCATTCTTCTTCTTATTTTCATTCTTCTTTTCATTCTTTTCATTCTTCTTTTAATTCTTTTCATTCTTCTTCTTCTTCTTTTCATTCTTTTCATTCTTCTTCTTCTTCTTCTTCTCATTCTTTTCATTCTTTTCATTCTTCTTCTTCTTTTCATTCTTTTCATTCTTCTTCTTCTTCTTCTTTTCATTCTTTTCATTCTTCTTCTTCTTCTTCTTCTTCTCCTTCTTCTTCTTTTTGGCCCCGTGACTGCCCAAATGAGTGAAGTGTGCGGTGATTCTAAGATCGACGGCACTCATCTGCATGTCATACTGACTGACAGTATTATTTCTCTTCCCCAGCAGACTCCAAGGGCATTTAAATTAAAGGTACAGTGTTCTGCACTAATATAAAGGCTCTCTGAAGCCTGGAAACCCTTTTTATAAGTAAAATTTGCGGCGAATAAATTCGAATCGAATTTTTTCGGAAAATTCGGCGAATCAGGCGAATCGAATTTTTGAAAAATTCGCTCATCTCTACTGACTACATCCATCCTTTCTGACCACCTACTCCATTCATAGAAGCCATACTATACGATCTATGAATGGAGGATGGGCAGATGAATGAAAGGTCTCCCTTCTCCATTCATAGATCTCTTTTTTTATTCACAGAAGCTGTAGTATGGTTTCTATAAATGAAGGATGGGACCAGGGGCAGATTGACGATTTGGAAATGCGGGCACTGCCTGAGGGGCAGGGGTCAGTAAGGGGGCCCCATTAGATGCCCCTGGTACCTTTTTCATAGGTTTTTTTTGAGTTTGGGCAAGTACACAGGGGCCCCATGATCCCCTATTGCCCGGGGGCCCCATGAGTTGTCAGTCCGCCCCTGGATGGGATAGAAGGGGTGCTGTCAGCATGTACTGATCAGCAGCTGTGAGCAATTGGCTGCAGCCCCTGATCTACAAAAGCTTCCCAACATTCCCATTCAACAAAAATGGATTTACCAATTGACTTATGTCAAACAGGAATGGCTACTGCTGAACTGGCCGAATATCGATTCACAGGATGAATGTACATGCACTTTCAATGGGTGAATTGCTATGGGACACTATTATAACTACACCTTTATGTGTTTTCTCTGCCTGTATTGAGGAATAAAAGGAAAAATTGACTTCAGAAGCCCATATACACTCTTGGATACGACTAATTTTTAGACCCAAAGAACATGCTGCCTACATGCAGCCTACAGGACAGTATGGACACTCACCTCTGGCATCCGGCATAATGTCTTTTAGTCCTTCAGTTAAAGCATCAAGAAGGTTGCTACAAAGAAACAAATTAGCTGAAATGTTCGCTGCACTAGGGAAGGCTTGATCGCTCCATTGGTCAAAGTCATGAAGCCAGGCGGAGGAGGTCCGATTGCTGAAGTTGTAGCTGAACATTTGGTCCTCATCAAACATCTTCAGGAGCCCCGGGGCCGATGTGTTGGGCTGACAGAAGAGCACCTGACTCAACCCATGGTCAGCTAGGAGACACAAAAAGAAGGAGGGGGCACAGGCAAAGAAAAAATGAAGTGATATAAAATTAAGATTAGTAAAAACTTTCTGAGTTCAGCCAACCTACAAACTAAAGCAATTCTAAAACAAATCAATACATCTCATAGAAGCAGTAGCAGGTCAATATAAATTCATAAGTTGTTTTCAGTTTTTTTTAGAACATCAACTTTCATTAAAATAATCCCTGATGATCCTGCTATGAGGTTCAGGCACTTCCTGTTATTGGGTGACATTTACTCTCATTTGGGCACCTGCGTTGTCACCCTGTCACATGCACACCTGATGGAGACTACAGGGGGTCATACCAACACACATTATGTAGACCATTGATGTCACTATCAGAAAGATGGTCCAGAGCCACGAAGTGCAGGGAGTGTTTGAGTGGCTTCTGACCTTTAGCCTGGACTGCAAGCTGGCTTCATCAGCTTGGTCTTTGTGCTGGGAGCGTGCAGGGAGAACATTGACTGACCACTGATACATACATGCAAACCCACCCTTTGCTGCTGTACATATGTGTTGGACAGTCATAAAGGGGTTAATATGACAAATTATAGTGCTTGTCCTGGTGACTTTCATCCTAGCAACCATGCTCACAAGAGTCTCTGCAGCTCACCATCATACAGCTGCCATATTATTATCTGTAAGCTTTTGACTAATAAACTTGACAGTGCAATTTCTGTTCTGGCATCAATCAAACGGTATGCCATTTTCTATAGAGCACCCTAATTTTAATTAAAAGAGAACTATGGGCTTTAGAAAAAAAAAACATTATACTCACCTAGGTGGATGCAGCATTAATCCGATGCTGCATCTGTCCCCCCGCCAACTCTGCACAGAGAACTGAGCGATCAAACACTATGATTACTCAGTTCTCCCCTCTGAGCAGAGAGCTGTGACTGTCAGTCTCCGGCTCTCTCTGCTCTGTTTCCCAGTGCTCACTGAACCGCTGGGATGTGCAGGGGGCGGGATTGGCAGGCTCAGCCGATCGCTGGATCCACATCACAGAGCTGGTCCAGGCTGGGGAAAGATCCCGATTTTAAAGTTGGGATCCACTCAGAAGCCTGGATCGGCAGCTAGCTTAGCCTTCCGGGTGGGTTCAAACTTTAAAATCGGGATTTTTCCCCAGCCTGGACCAGCTGTGATGTCAGCTGACAGCAGACTTTAGCCCACTGTCAGCTGAAAATGGGTCACAGGAGTGCAAAACTAACTGCACTCCTGTGATCCATAGAAGTACAGCCAAATGATATGCAGTGTTTTAGCAAATTAAATGTCATCTGATTAATCCATTGTTGTCCATGTAATGTGGGTGGGGCTTTAACACTCACGTGCAGCACATATGCATCCATGGGCAGCTGAGGTTTCTGTATTGAGAGTTCACTCACCGTGTGCACACTCCCAACACAGTGCCTGAGCTGCCATGGACAGCTCCTAATCTCTGGTAATGATTGGGAGCCGGCTGACTGGCCCCTGATCATGTGACCGCTGTGACAGCTAATCACAGTGGGCACGTGATCGGGCAGTCCTTTCCGCCCCCTGGGTATAAAGACCCTGGGCGTGGGGGCTTGGTAGGAAAGGGGGTAAAGAGACCCTGTCAGTCCCCACAAAACAAAAATCCTTCTGGAAATGACCTGCAAGAGAAGAGCTATTATTCCCATTTCTCCTACAGGCCGTGTCTCTGACCTTCCCTTTGTTTCATCATTCTCTTTGGCATTAAGAACTTCTGTGAGTGTCCCCCACTGTACTTTGTCATTTCATCCTCTGACCTCTAGGTCACTGATGAGTCCCTAGGTCACTGATGAGTCCTTATGTCACTGGTGAGTCACCAATGAGTCTCTTGGTCACCGATGAGTCCTTATGTTACTGATATGTTCCTGAGTTACTGATAAGTTCCTAGGTTAGCGATGAGTCTTTAGATCATTGATGAGTCTCTGGGATTGTGATGAGTACCTAGGTCACTGATGAGTCCCTAGGTCACCAATGAGTTCCTAGGTCACTGATGAGTCCCTAGGTCACTGATGAGTCCTTAGATCACTGATGAGTTTCTAGGTTAGTGATGAGTCTCTAGCTCACTGAAGAGACCCTAGGTCACTGATGAATCCCTAGGTCACTGATGAATCCCTAGATCACTGATGGATCCCTAGGTCACTGATGGATCCCAAGGTCACTGATGGATCCTTAGATCACTGATGAATCCTTAGATCACTGATGAATCTCTAGGTCACTGATGAATCACTACGTCACTGATGGATCCCTAGGTCACTCATGAATCCTTAGATCACTGATGAATCCTTAGATCACTGATGAATCTCTAGGTCACTGATGAATCCCTAGATCACTGATGGAACCCTAGATCACTGATGGGTCCCTAGGTCATTCATGAATCCCTAGATCACTGATGGATCCCTAGGTAACTGATGGATCCCTAGGTCACAGATTTAGTTCTGCTTTAACTATAACATACTGCAACGCACAGCCTTTTGTGCATTGAGAAGCACTGCGTTAGGTGGCCCATTGAAAATAAATGATCAATGCAGGAGACAAATTTCCTGCCCTATTTTTCCAGCACAGGACAATGCACACAGCATATGCGTGTATGTGCTGGGGTACAGTGTGTAGCAGTGCACTGTAAATGTGCACTGGAGTGCATTTAATTTTGCATTTCACTGCACATCTACATGTGCTGCAGAGCATAGCATCAAAGTGCCTAAGAACATGGCTCATGATGCCTGGTATGGCATGATTGATCCTTAAAGCTGTTTACTGAGGGTTCATTCACACCAGCCCCATTGGACAGTGCATGGACAAAGCAATGTGCCTACTGTTCCAATTTACACCAACACGTTGTATTGGTGTGCACTAAAAAAAGTAGGACAGATCATTTTTTTATGCAGGGCATTTAGACATGCAACTCATTATAGCACACTGTGGTGCATGCAGTTATATAAAATGTCATTTTTGTGTCATTTCAATGTATTAAAAAATTAAATAGTAAACAGTGAGATGTGATTTAATACAGCATTGTAGTGCCCCCACACCAGTGAAACATAAAACACACCCAATAGTTTGTGGATGGGCCCTGACATGACCCTCTAAGGCAGTGGACGCCAAACTGTGACCCATGGGCCCTTTACTTGCCTTTATCTGGCCCTTGGGCCTCTGTTCCTCTCATTATTATGAGGCACTATTCTTCCCACTGACACCAACAATGGGGCACTATTCCTTCCACTGACACCAACGAAGGGGCAAAATTCCTCCCACTGATATAAACAATTGGGCACTGTTCCTCTCACTGACAGCAATCATGGGGCACATTTCCTCCCACTGATACCAATGATGGGGCACTTTTCCTCCCACTGATACCAATGATGGGGCACTATTCATCCCACTGATACCATTGATGGAGCACTTTTCCTCCCACTGATACCAATGATGGGGCACTATTCCTGCCACTGATACCAATAATGGGGCACTATTCATCCCACTGATACCAATGATGGAGCACTTTTCCTCCCACTGATACCAATGATGGGGCACTATTCCTCCCACTGAAACCAATGATGGGCCACTATTCCTGCTACTGATACCAATAATAGGGCACCATTCATCCCACTGATACCAATAATGGGACATGATTCCTCACACTGACATCAACAATGGGGAACTATTCCTCCCACTGATACCAATGATGGGGCACTATTCATCCCACTGATACCAATGATGGGGCATGATTCCTCCCACTAATACCAATGATGGGGCATGATTCCTCCCACTGACATCAACGATGGGGCACTCTTCCTCCCAGTGATACCAGTGATGGGTTACTACTGCCACTGACTCCAATGATGGGGCACTATTCTTGCCACTGACACCAATGATGGGGCACTATTCCTCCCACTGATACCAATGATGGGGCACTATTCCTCCCACTAACACCAATGATGGGACACTATTCCTCCCACTGATACCAATGATGGGGCACTATTCCTCCCACTGATACTAATGATGGTGCACTATTCTTCCCACTAATACCAATGATGGGGCACTATTCCTCCCACTAATACCAATGATAGGGCTCTATTCTTCCCACTAATACCAATGATGGGGCACTATTCCTCCTACTAATACCAATGATGGGGCACTATTCCCCCTCCTACTGACTTCGTGTGCTATGTACTCTCTCTGACCACCAAGCCATTGGCAATATTTCCAGCTTCCACTGGCCACAGTCCGACCCCATTAAATCTGAAGGACAGTAAACTGGCCCTTTGTTTGAAGTCTGGAGAACCCTGCTCCAAAGGCTCATTCATACCAGTTGGTATGGATTATGCTCCGGATAATGGACCAATGCTGGTGTGTGCAATGTTGGAGCGTTTCCTTACAACAATACTTTTTTCAGCTTATATGAAATGTCACAAAAAAACAACAAATCATTTAACTTTATACACAGCAACATGTTGCAATCAATGCAGCCCACGACACGCATTGAGTTTCTTTGTGAAAAAAGTGCACACAAGCTGTCATTTTTACGCAATGCACACCACCGCACATGTATGGGAACAGGGCACATAAAGAACAGTTGTTGTTTATGTGTCCTTATATTGTACACATTTACACAATCTAGGCAGATTAACACAATTTAACCGACGTATGAATAAGCCCCAATATTCTATTTAGCATTCTAACTTTAGGTGCATTGTGTGTGCAGGCGGGTACCTCCAATGGCCCCAGTTTAGTAATTACCCTCTTGCCCCTGTGCCACCAGCAGGGGGAGTGCTAGCAGCACGGCACAGATGATCCTGATTGGTCGCCGATATCCCGGGGTGAGCATGTTTCCAGAACTTGTTCCGCTCAGTGGTATTATTGGAGCTTCTCCAGCAGGAATCTTCACGGCCAGTCCAACTTCTATTCAGATCCTGGAGGACATAACACGGGGATGAGCGCTGCTATCAGACGAGTCTCTTCCCATCCAGTTGGGTGACATCCAGAACTGAAGTGACTTGGAGAAGCTACGAAACGTCTTCAACATTACAGAACAAGTCCAGTAGAATGTGACTAACTACCACCAGCATTCAGATCCCAGAACAATGGAGTAGCCAATGTGATCAGCAGCAGCTCTCCTTCCCTTCATGTGTGCAGTAGTCCCCAATGTTATTCATAGGGCCTCATAGAGCTCAGCAGTCCAGACTCCGATATATTCTATAATGAAGAATTTTATTGTAGCTGATACAGTGGAACAAACTGCAACACCCATTGCTACACATTATACAACTTCTAGCCAATAGCAGATCTCCTAGCTGTTATGTCACTTGTTGCTAGGTAGACATTTATTTGAAGTTACCACTAAACAAGCGTGTGCAGAATTAAAGCCCAACGAAATCTCTTCATTGATAACTGGGATGCAGCCAGGCTGGAAATAAATTCATATTCCTCTTGATTACTTAATTTTTTTTTTTTTAATTTTTGTAAATTTTTATTAAAGGCCATTTTTTTCAGAACAGAGTTAGGGCTCATGTACACTGCAGCTGATAAACTCATGTTTAGGAGCTTTTCTGCATTTTTTTTCAGCAGCCCCTGAACTCTCCCTAATGTCTTCCTATGTGTCCATGTACGCATCGTCATTTACAGGCAGTTGAGTTTACAGTTGTTTTTTTTTTAACGCACCAAACTTGCGTTCAGGAGTAGATTTTATCAGCGCTTCAAACACCAAATGCTTGTAAACGCGGCTAACCACGTTTATAAGCGCTTGCGTTTAGAACCGTTTTTTAACTGTTCCATGTCCAGATGCTGTCCAGAGCCTTTTTACATGATCACAAATGCATGCAGAGCGTTTTCCATGTATTCAAATGGACCTGGTACACCAGCGCAGTCAGTTCCAGGTTTTGCGTGAAGGAAAGAATGGTAGAACGTGTCGCATTATGTTCATGTGGGGATCCATAGTGAATACAATCAGAAAAGACAGGAAATCTCAGCACATACTGCTCTCTCTGCTTCTGCTCTCTCTATTTCTCTCAAAATGTCTGAAATAGTTAATTTTTACTATTTTTCAGTGCATTCTGGGCATTTGGGAGGGTCTCCTGAGGTTATCTTTAACCACTTGCCACCAGACACTGTATAAATACGGCAGCAGGATGGCATGGCTGGGCAAAACCACATTTTAAAACGTGTGTTTTGTAAACAGGTAGGGGGCACGCATGTTAGGCACGCCACCCCGCCCTACCTGTCCCGCCAATCACAGCCGCGGATGTCAGTCGCCGGGTCACAGCCGGTCGTTACCGGCTATGTCTCGGCGATCGGTGGCAATCGCTGACAGAGAGCACAGCTGCAGTAGCTGTGCTTTCTGTCAGTTCCCTGACAGCTCCAGGACAAGCTGATCGGGACAGAAGAGTTACTCTCTCCCGATCAGTGGTGTCCCCGTGCAGTACACACCCCCGCCCCCGAGTAAAACACTCCCCCTCACACAGATAACCCTTCAGTGTGTCAGTTAGTTTTTTTTTTTTTTGCACTGATCACTGTATTGGTGTCACTGGGGATGTCAGTGACCCCAAGTCAGTACCCCCCAATGTCAGAATGTCTGCCCGCAGTCCCGCATTCCCGCCATAAGTCGCTGACCGCCACCATAAGTCGCTCATCGCCGCCATTATTAGTATAAAAAAACCTAAAAATCTCAGTATCTTTCCCACCATTTGTAAACGCTATAACTTTCACGTAAACCAATTCATTTACACATATTGGGTTTTTTTTTAGCAAAAACATGTCGCAGAATGCATTTTGGCAGAAATTTATGACTAAATTTGATTTTTAAATTTTTTTTTTTTTCCTAGACATGTTTTATAGCAAAAAGTCCAAAATATTGTTTTTTTTTTCCTCAAAATTGTCAGCCTTTTTTTTTTATAGCGCAAAAAATAAAAAAAAAGCACAGGCGATCAAATACCACCAAAAGAAAGCTCAATTTGTGGGAAAAAAAGGATGTAAATTTCATTTATGTACCATATTGCATGACCGCACAATTGTCCGTTAAACTAGCGCAGGGCTGTATAGCAAAAAAAATGGCGTAAATTGCAGTATTTATACCATAGTTTGTAGACGCTATAACTTCCACACAAAGCAATCAATATACACTCATTGGGATTTTTTTTACCAAAAACATGGAGCAGAATACATTTTGGCTTAAATTTATAACCAACTTTGAGTTTACTATATATTTTTTATAGCTGAAAGTAAAAAATATTGTTTTTTCTTCAAAATTTTTGGCCTTTTTTTTGTTTTATAGCGTGAAAAATAAAAAGCGCACAGGTGATCAAATACCACCGAAAGAAAGCTCTATTTGTGTGAAAAAAGGACGTAAATTTTGTTTGGGTGCAGCATTGCATGACCGCGCAGTTATCAGTTGAATTAGTGCAGCGCCGAGTAGCATAAAGAGGCCTGGTCATTAAGGGGGGGTAAATCCTCTGCAGGTCAAGTGGTTAAAAAATGCTTCTAAACGCAAACACACATAAACACAGTATGCAAACACATCTAAACAAACGTTTCTTAAACCTACATTTTCCAGCAGTCAGTTTCCACCATTCAGAAGTGTTTTTCAAACTTCCCGTGTACATGGAGCCTTACAACAACACTTTAGGTGTAAACATTGCAATAAAAGAGAACAACAATCTGATCTGAACTGTGGGGAACTCTGTTAGGTTTGCAATGGATACAAAATAACTTTTCTGCCTAATATTATTTCCTTTATATTAATATTTATGGTTAATAATTCTAATTATTTTCCTTAAAGCCCCTTTCAGATGGGGGGGGGGGGGGGGGGGTTTCTCCGCTGATCCCCACTGAGCAAGCAGATGACAGGTCTGTGTCCGCTCTTCTGATGCAGAGCAGACACAGCCTGCTGCTGGTTCCTATGGGGCGGCCATCGCGGCCATCTGACTGTCATCCGATTCAATCAACCAGACAGATGGGGAATGGATCCCCATCTGTCTGTTTGGATCGTATGCCGGTGGGTGTCATCGAACACGTGTCCGCTAACACCCGCCCCTCCATAGAGAGCTATGGATGGTCCAATTGGGTCTGCCTGAAAGACTGACAAGCGGACCTGATCGGGCCGTCAGTGTGAAAGGGGCCTAAAGAGCAGGGGAGTGTAAAATACGCCCCACCTTTGTTTCAAGCCTAGGGGCATCATTCATTATTTTTTATGTAGTATTATTTAAATGACTTAGTGATCACACTATACATTTCTAGCAGGGGTTCCCTAAGACATGAAAATGATTTCAAGGATGGGAAAGGCTGCCGTAGGCTGTATGGTTTTACTTCCAATTACTGAAGATGTCATAGTTTTATATACAGTGCTACTTGGCCCATACAGCCAGCCTGACAGCCAACCTCCCCCCCCCCAATAATAAACACAGTTAACTATGATTCAGTTATGAATGAACACAGTGAATGATTGGTACCAATCACTCATTGTTCTTCATCAGGAAAGGAAGAGGCTGGCAAATGTGACATATATGCAGAACCCTTCCCCCACTCTCCATCCTGCAGTGGGCTTGCAGCTGCCAGTGAAAGGAGAAGAGGGAAGCTGACAGCAGGGTGGGGCACACAGGGGGACCAGGGCAGCAGAGGGAAATGTATGGTGCACAAGGTGAGTGATGGGTGCAACAGGAAGCAATTACTGGAACCGATCCCCTGTATGACTCTCTCTGCAGCAGCTGAAAGCCAGCGGGAGGGAGAGGAGAAAAAAGCCAGCTTTCAGCTGCTGCAGAGAGACATACAGGGGATCGATTCCAGTAATTGCCCCCCCCGCCATGCCGATCAGCCTCCCTACCCACATCTGATTCACCCAGCTGCCTGGGCCCCCCTGTTGGCCTGGGCCCCGTGCAGGAGGACTGACAGTACCCCCTTATCCACGGCCCTGCTTAGCAGGGATGAGAAGTAAAGGTCTAAGGGCTCATTCACACTTGACTTTTTTTCCAACTCTTGCCAAACGCCCCTATAGTGTTTGACAAGCATTGGTTCTGGCGTTTGCGGATCGTTTTTAACACTCCAAAAACGCCATATGCGCAGTTTAGTGGTGGGTACTAGGCGTTTGCCAAGCGTTAAAAACCCCACAAACGCCTATAATGAAGTTTGAATGGTGTTAACGCTCCGCAACCGCGTCGCAACTGCACTGCAAACTCCGCCGGCCAGGCGTTTGCGGAGCGACACCATAGACTTGAATAGGAGACTTCAACTCCTCCTGACTCGACCAGAGGCGTCCGTTTTGCCACAATGCGACACTAACGCTCCCGTGTGAACAGCACTATGTGCTGCAATGTGCAGAATTTTCCAAGGCGTTTGGAAAACGGTAAAAACGCTTCCCAAACGCCTGTCTGCCGCTTGCTGACAAGGCTAGTGTGAACCTAGCCTAACAGCTCAGAATCCTGGATATCGTACCGGGATATACAGAACATGAGAGCTGCCAGAATGGGAATTCCCAATACATGTCACTAATAACAGAAGGGGCCTCCCTGACTTCTTGTACAAGTGGAAATCCCCTTTCACAACTGCAGACATACAGGAAATAGCGCCACCGTCTGCTCATACAACATAACTGTAGAAACATTGTATATCAGCGGTGATGGCAAACCCCTGGGCTGAGCTACTACTGTAGGGGTGACAGCTCCGCTGGGTGCTGCTGATCATCTCCACTGCTGTGTGCAGCCATCTCAGCAGCCGTAGAGGACAGATCACAGGAATTTACTCAAAGTGAAAGCAGTAGGAAGCCAAGGGAAGTCCCTGAACTTTCAACAATGGGTTTTCAAAACAATCCGACCTTCAGAATTCTGTATAATATATAAG